AGTAATGTATACAGTATAGTATACTAGTCCATGTTAATAAGGACATCTATATAGCAGCAAGGATATTTATTTATAGATGTGTGTTTATGGATTTTGGTAAGAATAGACTAAATATGCACTAAAACAGCACTGTAAAACTAATAATAAAACACTTAGTGCAAAATATATCCAATATCATGAAATATTTTGCATTAGGAATTTTATTGTTATATAGCAACAGTTTTTTAATGATGTATTATATTTATCTAAGTGGTAACTGGGCATCCTTGACCTAGATACGGAGAACTGTTATTGATCTGCTTTACTTCTTGGCTATAACCAACATCCCTCCCACAACTTACTTCTAGAAATAACTAATTAACTCAAACTTGTCACTTTGCCAAACCAACTATCAGGACAGAGGCTACCAGCAAAATTCTTTGAGATCTGGACTCCATTGTTGAATATCCTCTCCTCAGCTGCAAACATGGCCCTCCAATTGAACCAATCACTCTAGGAACTCTGAGGCTATCACAGGACACTTAATACCTTCTGATGTCCCCTTTTTCCTTGCAATTTTCCATTGCAATTTTTAACTTTTTAAAAATACTACATATACTTGTGTAGCTTAGCCGCTACTCTTCGCTACTGCATAGTACAACACAGCATCATGCAATTGTATATAACTGTTTTACTAACTGTTGTGTTCCACTTTCCTTCCTATCTTCTCCCTCTTCCCTTTCAACTTATCCCTGCAGTGAATGTTGTTTGAATGTCAGATTCACTATTTTATTAAAATCAATAAATAAATAAACTTAGTTTGCTAAAGCACAGTGTATCCTAAATAATTGCTATTAAAAAAATGTTTTCACCTTTGTTGCATCTCAGTGTAGCTGATCTCCTGCAGCCACTTTGCAGTTACTTTCTGTCTATTTGCACGCACTCCAAGGATGGATGCACATCCTTTGTTAGAGCTGGATTCAGGATAGTAGCAACAATGTACCATAGATCTTTAGTGTGTTCTGAAACAACCAGTTTTAATCGCCACCTGAAGCCTGTGTGGCAGGGTGACAACACAGGGACACCACTGGGAAACAGGGACAGAACTTTATCAATCTAGAGCAGGAAGTGATTGAACAGGGACCTTCATGGCAGGATCACCAGCTATTAATTGATTAAAAGCTGCAGATTTAGAAATGACATTTAAAGTAATTGTAAACTTTGATACTTACCTGCTTAATGCAGTATTTTTGCACAGTGCAGCCCTGATCCTCCTCTTCTTTCTGGTGCTCTGGGCTATATCCCCCTAAAGAGTGCCCCCATAGCAAGTGGCTTGCTATGGGGGCACTCATGTGGGCTTGCTCCCGAGCCCCGCTCTGTGTGTCCATTCACACACAGAGCATGGCTCGGTCCTGAGAGAGCCACTGTTTTTATACACATTATGCACATTGCTGGATCGAGATCGGGCCCAGATAAGTATAAGAGGGTGGCTGGGGGACGAACAGCCAACAGAAGGTTTTTCACCTTAATACATAGAATTTACAACCACTTTCACAAGTTAAAGCATACAGTATATACAACTTTAGTAATTGGTTAACATACACTTTAAGACCATGCTTTCAATTGTCTTTGTTCCCAGCTTCACTTACTGATATTTACTGTACACAATTCCACACAGGGTTTCCATGTAAAATATGGTGTGGATGCAGTACCTAATGGATCTTCATGCTTGGGTGCAGTTCATCATATGGACCTTTCTCTGCACTAAGCGTGGAATAAATGCTTTAATTAACTTATTTCCACAACTAGTGTGAAAATGTTCCCTGGTTTAACAGAGGGCACATAGTAAAATGTTTTCATCTTTGCAAAAATGCCTATTCTCAGTAGACTACAAATTTCTTTGTCAAAAGTGTGTAAGCTATGTATCATTTTACCACAATTTTAAGAAGGCTCAATAAATTATACTTTAAGGCTTTATTATATCCAAGATGATGGTCCCTTTCTTCCAGCTGTTTGGTTTAGGTTTTCATCTTATATGGTGCACTGGGGGCATCTGTCCAGTAGTGGCAACTGTCAACATTATATTTTACTGTTACGGAAATCAGACCTTGCCTTACTCTAATACAAAGAACCACATTGTTTCTTTATGAATAAAACCACATAAAAACACTGCAAATGATACTGAAATGCACATGCCAATCTCCTCATATTGAAAGTATCAGTTTTGGTTCTGCAAAATCTGCAATCACAGGGGGAATACTACAGGCGTGAACCACAGATCTAATGGTATCTCAGCTTCAATCATGTGTCTATAAAATGCTCTGAAATCCCCCAAAAATTATGGAAACTACAAAAATAAAAATATACTAAATAGTATTGAAAAGCAACCAGTTCTAAAGAAGTGAAATAATTAATAAAATGAATGTAAAAAATAGATGTCATAGTGAATAAACACTCTCGCAAGTCCAAATTAACAGGTTCATTAATAAATAGCAAGGGAATACTCCAGCTAATTTAAGGAGGAGTGTGAAATAATTGAATGACATACCAAATTGAGATTCAACACTTTTTCATTTTGGCTGAGCAATATACCATTAGGGACTCAGGTGTCTAATGGTGCAGATTTTTGTATCATTTTTTTCACATAAGACACATCCAAACTCTTTATTCATGCACTAATTATGAACTGTTTCAGCAGCTCCTTAATTGGCCTACTCCTCTACTGACCTTATCCAAACCATAAAGAATGTTACTGCTTATCTACCTTAAAGTTTTTCTCTTTCAAAGCTGTTTCACCTTGTCAAGTCCTACACCAGCTACGTATATTTAAAAAGAACTGGATTAATAATACATTAAAGATGCAATACTTAAAACTTGAATTTTCTAAAACACCCTACTTGCAATGCTCAAGGATTACATTTTTTTACTATTTTTAATCTGCTCTTTAAATTGTGTTAGCATGTACAGCCATAGCAGCTACAACTTTTTAACAGTTACAAAAAAAAAAGATTTTTAATGTGGACTCATGGGGCATGGAAACAAAGAGAGGTGTTATCATACATCATGAGAATGTGTCACAAAGCCCTGGTTCATATTTCACCTCAGGCCCAGAGCTATTTAGTTATACCCCTGCATAGAGTGCAAGATGTAAATCACTATAACAATTAATCAATCAAAGAAAATGTTTACTTTACTAAAGGTGTCCAAAGATAAGAGATGATCATTGCATGATTGCTGACATCAAGAACAACTGTATTTGTTTGCACTCTTTGATTTGTACAATTTTTTTTACCTTTATTATTACAGTTGTTCTTCCAAGGCTTGGCATTGAACTAGAGGCGTCTACATAGTATATAACCATGTGCATTTAAAGAATAAGAACACGCATGTATATGCACTCATCAGTTCTTTACAAGGTCTGTTCAACTAAATTATCCAACAGACATCCCCTATCATTAGGCACCTTAAAGCCTAAGTTTAGTTTAAAAAAAAACAGCACAAGGGTCATTACTTACCATTCTCATGATGTATCCCTTGTGCTGCTGATCCTGGATTTCTCCTTCAATGCCCCTTCCACCCCATTGCCATAATATTCCAGTGCAGAGAGGGTTGATAGATGTGCCCACCCTTTCTACCCACATTCTCCATTCTTAGAAGCCATACTACAGCTTCTATGAATGAAAAATGATCTATGAGGAAGCGAACATTTCAATCACCTGCCCGTATTCCATTCATATATTGCTTTTCATTCATAGAAGCAATAGTACGGCCTCTATGAATGAAGGAGGTGAATGGAAAGGGAGGGCATGGTCTGGCACTCTTGATAAGTGCCTGTCACAGCTCTCTCTGTTCTATTAACCCTCACCACACTGGAAGATTACAGTGGCTGGGGAGGGTCATCAGAGGAGGACGATTCAAGAAATTCAGGAGCCAGCAGCACAAGGGGCACATCATACAGATGGTAAATAGTGTTCTTTGTGCTGATTTTTTTATTTTTTTATTATGTTAGTGGAGAGTAGGGGGGGGGGGGGGGGGGGGATTTACTAAAATGGTTTCAGTCAGAATCTGGTGCACATGTTCATGGTAGCCAATCAGCTTCTAACCTCAGCTGGTTCAATTAAGCTTTGGCAATAAAACCTGGAAGCTGATTGGTTTCTATGCAGAAGTGCATCTGATTTTGCACTCTCCAGCTTTTGTAAATAAACCCCTATATGACCAGTAATGAAAGTCAAGATAGGAAGCTGCACCTAGAAATAGTTTAGCTAGAGAGAACTGCCCCTTAATTACACTATATTGCCAAAAGTATTTGGACGCCTGCCTTTACACACACATGAACGTTAATGGCATCCAAGTCTTAGTCTGTAGAGTTCAATATTGAGTTGGCCCACCCTTTGCAGCTATAACAGCTTCAAATAAGGCTGTTCAAAAGGTTCAGGAGTGTGTCTATGTTTGGCCATTCTTCCAGAAGCGCATTTGTAAGGTCAGGCACTGATGTAGGAAGAGAAGGGCTGGATTGCAGTCTCCACTCTAATTCATCTCAAAGGTGTTCTATTGGGTGTGCAGGCCAGTCAAGTTCCTCCATCCCAAACTTGCTCATCCATGTCTTTATGGATCTTGCTTTGTGCACTGGTGTGCAGTCATGTTGGAACAGGAAGGAGCCATCCCCAAACTGTTCCTACAAAGTTGGGAGCATGAAATTGTCCAAAATGTCTTGGTATGCTGACGTCTTAAGAGCTTCCTTCACTGGAACTAAGGGGCCAAGCCCAACCCCTGAAAAGCAACCCCACATCATAATCCCCCCTCCACCAAACTTTACACTTGGCACAATGCAGTCAGGCAAGTACCATTCTCCTGGCAACTGCAGAACCCAGAAACATCCGTCAGATTGCCAGAGAAGTGTGATTCATCACTCCAGAGAACATGTCTCAACTGCTCAAGAGTCCAGTGGTGGCGTGCTTTACACCACTGCATCCGACACTTTGCATTGTACTTGTGATGTAAGACTTGGATGCAGCTGCTCGGCTATGGAAACCTATTCCATGAAGCTCTTTACGCACTGTTGTTGTGCTAATCTGAAGGCCACATGAAGTTTAGAGGTCTTTAGCTATTGACTCTGCAGACAGTTGGCAACATCTGCACACTGTGCACTACAGCATACTCTGACCCCGCTCTGTCATATTACGTGGCCTACCACTTCGTGGTTGGGTTGCTGTTGTTTCCAGTTACTTCTACTTTGTTATAATACCACTAACAGATCACTGTGGAATATTTAGTAGCAAGGAAATTTCCCAGATGGACTTATTGCACAGGTGGCAACCTATCACGGTACCACGCTTGAATTCACTGAGCTCCTGAGAGCGACCCATTCTTTCACAAATGTTTGTAGAAGCATTCTGCATGCCTAGGTGCTGATTTTATACACCTGTGGCCATGGAGGTGTTTGAAATACTTGAATCCAATGATTTGGAGGGGTGTCCCAATACTTTTGGCAAAATAGTGTATCTATTTGCCTGCCCTTCCATCCTCAAAAACTAAAGCACCCTGACAATAATGTGTATTAACTGCAAACGTTTGTAGTGTGATGTATATATGAATATTTTGTATTCTCACATACAGCCATCTGGTGGAAATCCAGCCAGCTGTTTGTATGTCTTCCAGGCTCGTCTGATCTATTTTGCTATAAAATACTGTAGTCTGTTGTTTACAGAGTTCAATACTTCAAGCTAAAATTTTAACACAGCTGAATGAGTCAAAGCAGTTACTCATCCCCCCTCATTGCCTGCTTAGTTCAGATGACTCTGTACAAAGTTTCACTCAGTGTGAAAGGACACAATTTTGCTTTGTTGCTTTGGAAAACCCATATGGAGCAATTCAGTAAAGGATTTGAAACACTTTTCTGGCGGTAAGGATGCACTGTAAATTCCTGCACCTAACTCATGAAAGCATTGCAAGAGTTCCATTAATAATTCCAACACGTGCCAAATTCAGATAGTTCTTATTTGCACCATTTGCACAATGTGACGCTATAGCTGCGACAAATTAAAAAAGAATTACTGTCAATTCTTAGATAAGGAAACTAGAGGTTATTGTAGCCAAATTGATGTGCAGAAATAGGTGCATAGTTCTCAGAATGCTTTATACACTGCTCAAAAAATTAAAGGAACACTTTGAAAAAATATCAGATCTCAATGAGGGAAAATATCATGCTGGATATCTATACTGATATGAACTGGGCAATGTGTTAGGAACCTAAGGATGCCCCATCATTTGATGGAAATGAAAATTATCAACCTACAGAGGACTGAATTCAAAGGCCCCCCCGAAAATCAAAGTGAAAAAATTATGCAGCAGACTAGTCCATTTTGCTGAAATTTAATTGCAGCAACTCAAAATGGTACTAAGTAGTTTGTATGGCCCCCACGCGCTTGTATGCATGCCGGACAATGTCGGGGCATGCTCCTAATGAAACAACGGATGGTGTCCTGGAGTATTTCCTCCCAAATCTGGACCAGGGCATCACTGAGCTCCTGGACAGTCTGAGGTGCAACCTGGTAGCATTGGATGGACTGAACCATGATATTCCAGAGCTGTTCTATTGTATTTAGGTAAGGTGAGCATGAGGGCCATTTAATGGTATCACATCCTTCATCCTCCAGGAACTGCTTGCATACTCTCGCCACATGAGGCCTGGCATTGTCGTGCACCAGGAGGAACCCAGGACCCACTGCACCAGTGGAGGGTCTGACAATGGGTCCAAGGATTTTATCCCAATACCTAATGGCAGTCAGGGTGACATTGTCTAGCCTGTAGAGGTCTGTGCGTCCCTCCATGGATATGCCTCCCCAGACCATCACTTACCCACCACCAAAACGGTCATGCTGAATGATGTTACAGGCAGCATAATGTTCTCCATGGCTTCTCCAGACCCTTTCATGTCTGTCACATGTGCTCAGGGTGAATCTGCTCTCATCTGTGAAAAGCACAGGGCGCCAGTGGCAGACCTGCCAATTCTGGTGTTCAATGGCAAATGCCAATCAAGTTCTATGGTGCCAGGCAGTGAGCACAGGGCCCACTAGAGGATATCGGGCCCTCAGTCCACCCTCATGAAGTCTGTTTCTGATTGTTTGGTCAGAGGCATTCACACCAGTGGCCTGCTAGAGGTCATTTTTTTGGGCTCTTGCAGTGCTCATCCTGTTCCTCCTTGCACAAAGGAGCAGACACCGGTCCTGCTGGTGGGTTAAGGACCTTCTACGGCCCTGTCCAGCTCTCCTAGAGTACTGCCTGTCTCCAGGAATCTCCTCCATGCTCTTGAGACTGTGCTGGGAGACAGAGGAAACATTCTGGCAATGGCACATATTGATGTGTCATCCTGGAGGAGTTGGACTGTCTGTGCAACCTCTGTAGGGTCCAGGTATCTCCTCATGCTACCAGTAGTGACACTGACCCTAGCCAAGTGCAAAACTAGTGAAAAACAGTCAGAAAAGATTAGTAGGGAAAAAAATGTCAGTAGCCTCCACCTGTAAAGCCATTCCTGTTTTGGCGGTCATCTCATTGTTGCCCATCTAGTGCACCTGTTGTTAATTTCATTAACACCAAAGCAGCTGAAACTAATTAACAACCCCCTTTGCTACTTAACTGACCAGATCAATATCCCAGGAGTTTAATTAACTTCATGCTATACTCTGATTAAAAAGTGTTCCTTTAATTTTTTTGAGCAGTGTAGTAACACCTGGCACTGGTTGCAAGGATGCATCAGCTGTTGACCTTATAGATTCATTGGTTGCTAAAGCGCAGGCCATCAGTGTCTTATCAACTAATGAGATGGTGTCAAACATTCACACTGGTTTGAGCCTGATGGGTGATTCTGAGAGACTTGTTCCTCATCAGGTCTGCCTTCCTCATGATTGACAGCGGATAACAGTGGGCTGATTCCATAGCTGCTAAGTTGCTGTCTAGCAGTTATGGAATTGGCCCACTGCCGACCTCTGTGAATCATAGAGTTGGGCAGGATGAATAAAATGTGTTTCGTTTCGGATTCATTTGTTAGATTAATCATACCATCATATTCGTTATGCTAGTATGATTTGTTTTCAGAATTAATTATCAAACACAATAAGTAGGAATCATCTTATTTCACTTTTATACCTCACTGTTTCCATGTGTAGTGCATTTTTTATAATAATGAAAAATGTTAATGCAAAATAAAAACGAAGTGGATCCAAATCAATTCTGATCATTCGTCATGTTGTTATGTTATTTCAGATGCGTCAAACATTAAAAAAAGGCCCATACTATTGCATCATGTCATACAAATTAAACAAACGAATACGAATGAATTTGTTGTTTCGTTATAATAGTAATAAATTTCAACAAATCCAAAATAAATTATGATTTAGAGATTTGTATTTATCTGAATCCCTGAATAACAAAAATTGTGTCTGAATTTCGATTCATAACGAAGCGAATTGCATATGTCTAGTCAATCACAAGAGAGATGGAACCAGTCTCTCTGGCCACTGTCAAGCTAAGGGAATGTCAACCTAATGCCTCATTTAGCCTGTTGTCAGCTGAAAACGGTTCACAAAAGTGCAGAATGTACTGCACTCCTGTTATCCACAGGAGAAGTATAGTCAAAAGAGCTACTTCTCCTTTAAACAGATGATATAGGCTTCATGGGCTTCATCTTCCTTTCTCTCCACAAGGCCAATGCTTTATTCAGGTATCATTCAGGGTCAGCAGCTATCAGCTGGACTAAGATCCTGGCCCTGAGATCATGCAATCATGAGCTGTAAATCCTGATGCCTGTGCAGAAGGTTTGTGTGTGCATGTTATATACAGCTGAGCTCTCTGCTGTCTCTTTTCAATCTGTGACCTGGCAGAATAAAATTCCATTAAAGCTTACACAATTACCATCCCCTTCCTAGAGCTGCCTTTAACCCTGTGACCTGCCATAGTTAGGGTTCCATGCACACTGGGCATATTAAAAACGCTGCTTATACAGGCGTTTTGCATTTTTTTTTGTTCAGCCTGTAGAAGCAGATCCATGTTAGCCTATGTGTCCATGCACATTAGGGAGTTTACAGGCACATTTTCAGAGGAGCATTTAGAGGTAGAAAAAACCCTTAAGACTCAAATTTTTAAAGGAGCTTTCCAGCAGAAAAAACACTTAACACTCATAAACACGCATAAATGCTCATAAACAACGTTTAATAGCATTCAGAGTTTTGAAATGTACATTAATAAATGAGCAGAGGGTATTGTTTTGGAAAAAAAATACTTATAAAGGTAAATGCTCATAAACTCTTGTGCAATATGACCCACTATGAACATTTTTTTCTGCTGCTTTTTTCTGCCAGAGGTTCTGGCATTTTTTTCAGCTGCCTAGTGTGCATGGAGTCCATATTAGTCTCACACAGATTACCCCAACCCTTCTGCTGCCTTTTATCCTATCAGAGCATTACATTGAACAAAGTGATCAGGAGAAGGGATCTAAAGAAATGATTCCTCCAATTTGCAGCAGATTAAATTATTCTCCTGATATGCTCCTCCCAAGCCTATGAACCATCACTTGACTGGGGCTAAAAGACTGCATACTAAAGATAATAGATACATGTTATTCTTTTATTTGATTTGTACTGTTGTTATATACAGTTGCATATCAGGAATGTATTTCTGTAGACTAAAAAGTTATAGATAGGCCCAATTTAATCAAATAATGCAAACAAAATATGTGAGTCTCGATTAAATACAGAATAGCAAAACATTCCTGATAATAAATATTTTCAGATATGACTCAGTAAGTAATCTGGATTACAATAATGTCTGCAATAAAAGAACGGTGACACATACGAAATAAGGTGGAATCTGCAGTTATCTTAAATAAATCTATGAAATGTTGATAAGACAAGAAAGAGAAGTAGATTTTACTTTGAACAGAGAAGTGGAATGTTAACTGTTTACATTTAAGGGTCTTCCTAATCAGATGAAAGTGTTGTCTCCTAATGGAACTCATATTGTTTGTAGCCTTCGTTAATGATACATCCATCTCTCTTGCAAATGTGAAAAATGTTCATTGAAATAATTTAATGGAATTGTGTGATTTTGCTTTTGGGAAGGGCATTGAATTGCTATCATATTTCATTTTGTTGCTTTATGTTTGTTCACACATTATTTATTTAAATAATGAAAATTTGGTTGCAGCAAATGAGTCATTTATTTATTATTATTTATAAATATGTAAAATAAATAGCAGTAACATTCTACATGCATTTGTGTGTGTGTATAAACTGTATATAAGAGCGGTCTTCAAAAAGTTTCCACACTTTTATGCATATACAGTATATATATATATATATATATATATATATATATATATATATATATATAAATATGTTTTTTT